GTCATTCTCTTAAAGGCTGTGTAGCAATCCGTTATTCTGATACAATACAACTTATTAGGTTACTTCTAGTTTTTTACTGTTAGAAAGAATTCTGTAGTAAACATTCTTGTATATTTATGAACTTATTTTTGTGGAAGAAATGTTTAAAAATAAAATAACTGGATCAAGTATTTTATAGTTTAAAATTTTCATTTTGCCAAATTGTCCTTCAGTAGATTATAATAATTTATGTTAATACCCGTAACCATTTTCATATTTTTAATCTTTTATAATGTAATTGGGAAATTTAAAATTTTGTTTTTATTTGATCACTGATGATGGGGAAGCAGATTTTCATAATTTTGTTGGCTGTTTATATATTTTTTTTGGGGAATTGTTTGGTCCTGTGTTTTGCAATTTTTAAAAAATTTGATGTACCTTTTTTAGGTTGCTTTGTAGTACCTTCTAAGATATGGTTAGTAACCTTTTGTTATAGTCATTAATTCATGTGTTTTTCAAATAGTTATTGAGTGCCTACTATGTACTGGGTGCTGGGAACATACTGGTGAACAAAACAGGTATGGATCTTATAGTTTCTTGGAACCTACAGTCTTTGAAGAAATGGTCAGATGCTCAACTACAGAATTAGAATTCTGATCAGTGTGTGGAGACATGAGGGTGTAAACCTAAACGGAGGGATTAGGGACACAGTCCTAGAAATGAGGAAAATCAGATGACTTGGAGGAAAAGAGAGATCAAGATGGTAAGAAGGTACCCAGCAAAGGGCTAAGGATGGAGTTAAGGGTGGAGAGGTAGATGGGGGACAGAACTTCTAGAGCCTTGTAGGCTGTACTGTGATCTTGTTCTTCATCCTAAGGGCTTTTGGAAACGTTGAAGAGTGTCAAGATGAAATTGAAATTTGTATTTTACACAGACAACGTTAGTGTAGATGGTGAAGGACCGCTGCGGGGAGAATGGATGGTGGAGGGGGAAGAAGGCAAGTATCACAGGAAGCAGAAGCCACAGCTCTCCAATGAGGTGGTTAAAGACCCTGGTGGCCACTTTGTTGTGGAGGAAACTGAGAATGTCAGGGAGGGATGTTTCCCCGAGAAGCCATGTTAATGTTTTGCCTGGTTCTTTTTAGTTGTGGTCTAGGCCAGGAGCATGTGATGATTTTGCTTAGTTAAATTAGACGGATGGTTTGATTTTGTCCTGTAGTTGAGCAGGAGTGAGTTTTTTTGTTTTTGCTTTGTTTTTTTCTGTTTTGCCAGCTTCATGTAATCTTGACTTTTTTTCAACTCCCAGAGGAATTTCAAAGGGTCTAATTTCACTAATTATACACTTCCTCTCTACAGCCTGCCAGCACTTTTTCCATTTTTAAATTAAGGTGGTGCTGTGTATTTTATCTATATGATATCAAGGTTATGCTATAAATAACTTGTTATGCTATGGTAAGGCTTGTTGGTTATCTGGCTTATGTTCTCTTTCTTTGGATTTTGTCTAGCACTTAGGGTTTTCAGTGTAAGCTACCATAAATCTTGAAACTAACCCTTTGCCTGATAACCTTTTTTTAAAAAAATTTTTAAATTAAAAAAAAAAAAATTTTTGCGGTACGCGGGCCTCTCACTGTTGTGGCCTCTCCCATTGCAGAGCACAGGCTCCGGACGCGCCAGCTCAGCGGCCATGGCTCAGGGGCCCAGCCGCTCCGCGGCATGTGGGATCTTCCCGGACCGGGGCATGAACCCACATCCCCTGCATCGGCAGGCGGACTCTCAACCACTGCGCCAGCAGGGAAGCCCAATTTTTTTAATTTTTAAAGATTTTTTTGGCCGCACTGCATGGCATGCAAGATCTTAGCTCCTCGACCAGGGATCGAACCCATGCCCCCTGAAGTGGAAGCATGGAGTCTTAATCGCTGTACTGCCAGGGAAGTCCCGCCTGATAACATTTTTGATAAATGATCATAGATAAAACAAATTTCTCAGGCTAAAGAAAAAAGAAATTAGTAGAGTCCCTTGTAATTCAGTTGATGCTGGCTTGATGAAAAATTATAAGCATTCCTTAAAGTGTTTGTTTAAATCTTAGATATGTTGCTATGTGTCTAAATACATAGGTAATTCTTAATCTTCTTTTAGCAGCACTTTTTTCAGTCCCATGAATTTAAGTGACATTTAAGTTATAGAAGTTTGAAATCCACAGAAGCAATTAGTAACTCTTGATTCATGGTTTACTAGATAAATAGATTCAATCTGGTCATTTTATTCTCAGACGATAAGAATTCTGATGAAACAAGGGCTGGAGAATCAATGCATGCAAAATAGCCAAATAGATTAAAAGAGTATTCACTTATTGATTAAAATTTAGCAGTAGACAGCAAGCATCTCTCTGAACCCACTCCTAAGATTAAAGAGAAAATTAGAATGAAGTGCAGCTATTTTTAAAGAAACCAGTCATATCAGTCATTCTCACCAAGATTTTCTTGTGTTTTGAGAAAATGAAGAGGCAGGCAAAATATTTTATTACCTACTGAATTTTATAAAATCCTTAAAGAATAAGTGAGAAGAATGTTGAAAAAGTTAGCTTTTTTTTCTTTTTATCTTTGCTACGTTACTTGTGAACTTTTTCCCTTGACTTAGAAAAGGCCACCTTTACATCTGGAAAGAAATCCCACATTGTCATTCTTTTACTCCCACTTGTGGTGCTTTACTGGCACATCTCTGTGTTCTTTTGGTGACAACTTTTTAGGTCATTTGCAGAGTATCCCGCGTGGTCTTTGGGGTTCTGTTATGCCTTTCAGTCTGATCATATAGTATTAACGTATATGGTAATGTACTTTTCTTTTTCTTTTTTTAAAATTTTTATTTATTTTTGGCTGCGTTGGTTCTTCATTGCTGCGCGCAGGCTTTTCTCTAGTTATGGCGAGTGGGGGCTACTCTTTGTTGCAGTGTGTGGGCTTCTCACTGCGGTGGCTTCTCATTGCGGAGCACAGGCTCTAGGTGAGCGAGCTTCAGTAGTTGTGGCTCGTGGGCTCTAGAGCTCAGGCTCAGTAGTTGTGGCACACGGGCTTCAGTAGTTGTGGCTCGTGGGCTCTAGAGCTCAGGCTCAGTAGTAGTGGCACAGCAGGCTTCAGTAGTTGTGGCTCGCGGGCTCTAGAGCACAGGCTCAGTAGTTGTGGCTCATGGGCTCTAGAGCACAGGCTCAGTAGTTGTGGCACATGGGCTTAGTTGCTCCACGGCATGTGGGATCTTCCTGGACCAGGGCTCGAACCCACGTCCCCTGCAGTGGCAGGCAGAGTCTTAACCATTGCGCCACCAGGGAAGTCCCTATGGTAATGTACTTTTCTAGTGTACACTAAATTTTAGTAATTACCTATGCTAACTAATTGAAAAATACACATTATTTAATTTCTCATCAGGGTAATTTCATTTTTCCAATGAAGTCTTGCAGTGTTTTTTTTTTTTTTTTTTGCGGTCCGTGGGCCCCCTCACCACTGCGGCCCCTCCCGCCATGGAGCACAGGCTCTGGACGCGCAGGCCCAGTGGCCATGGCCCACGGGCCCAGCCGCTCTGCAGCACGCGGGATCCTCCTGGACTGGGGCATGAACCCGCGCCTCCCGCATTGGCAAGTGGACCCCCAACCACCGCGCCACCAGGGAAGCCCCTTGCAGTGGTTTTATGGTGAGTGGCAAGTAGAGCAGAAAGTGTTTGCTAGGTACTAACCTTTGTACCACTTGAGCATTCTGTCAACCCAAAGGATGGAAACAGCGGATCATTTTGAACTCTGCCTGTATGTTTAAATAGTACTGATCCTTCTTTTTCTGTGTCATGGAATATATAATTTTTAATGTCTACTTTTACTTTTTGAATAGGTAATATATTCACATGGTTCAAAATCCAGAAGATAGGAAAAGTTAGCAATTCAGTTTAAAACTTACTATGTAGGAACCGTATTGAGAGTTGCCTCTTCGTAGTTTTTCTACCTGCTTACTGTGAAATGGTGTTGATTCATATCTTTAAATGATGCCTTTAGACCTTGTGTGTTGACCTTTCTTTGACAGTCTCTGAGTTCATATTTTTCTGAGTCTCTTTTTGCTTTGACTAAGCTGTAACCAGTTTTTAAAATATTCTACATATGCTTTAGTGTAATCACGAGGTGAAAACTTAGTTTTTAATCAGGTTTTAAAGTGCAGCTTCTCCAAAGCAGCATGGTATCTCTTGGGAGATGACTAGTTTGGGTTAGGTTTTAATGTCCTCTAGGAATTTCACTTTTTTTTCCCCCTTCATTTATTCACTTAAAAAGTATCAAGGAATTTTCAAATATACACAAAGTAGAGAGGATACCATAGGAATCCTTACATGTGTGATTCTTAAAATATGGATCTAGATTCACAAGGAGCATTACCGTTTAGAATGTAAGTCTCAAAACAATTTTTTTCTTAATGCAGATTCACTACTTATTAGTTAAAAAGGCAAAAAATATAACATTTGGTGTAATTTGGAAAGATCACTGAGATAAATTGTCAAATGAAAAAAACAAGGTGCAGCATACCACCTTTTACTTAAAAGAAAAAGGTAAAATAAATATTCATATTTGCTTGTATATGCCTAAAGTAACTTGGGAAGGATACAATAAGAAACCAAAACTGGTTACTTGGGTTTTTAGGGGCAGGGAAGGAGACTTTGAACTCTTTACCTTTCTGAGGTTTGTTCATTTACTTTTTTGAACCCTATGAAATCATTAAAAATAAATTTGAAATTTATTTTAAAATTATTAAAAATCATTAAACATTTTTTTAAAACAGAATATGTAATATAAAATTTACAACTTGAAAATATATCACAATAATGGTTATTTTCCCAGGGCAGTCTGTAGATTTAGGTAAGAGGTGTTTTGACTGTACCAAAGTAGTCTGTGGTATACTTTAAAAGCATACTTAAAGAAATATGCTTTAAAAACTACCTCATCCCCAAAATGGCAATTTATTTTATTGTAACCTTTTTTTCTTTTTCTTTTTTTTAAAGGCTGGTGGGGTAGCAGGTGTCTGTGTTGACTTGATATTATTTCCTCTGGATACCATTAAAACCAGGCTGCAGAGCCCCCAAGGATTTAATAAGGCTGGTGGTTTTCGTGGAGTATATGCTGGCGTTCCTTCTGCTGCTGTTGGATCCTTTCCTAATGGTAAAAATTATATTGGTATTATCACTGCTTTATATAAAGCCAAGATAATGTGATTTATTTTCAGAATGGTATGTGGTCCAACCCTATATAGAATTCCTTATATGATTGATGTAGTTGATCTCCTGAATTTATTTTCTATTCATTAATCCATTATTTTTGACTCAGCTGGTGTTATAGATTCCATTCTAGTGTATTTGTAATAAAAAATGAGCAATCTTTAAATGAGTGGTTTTTGTTGTTGTTAAAACTCCTTGTTAGAATCCTTAAAGTGTTCCTGTAACATTGATTGTAATGTCTTACAGCAGTTCTCAACCTTGCCTGCACGTTGGAATCTCTTGGGAAGTTTAACAAAATACTTAACGCCTGTGTCTCCATCAGAAGTTTAATTGGTCTGGTCTTTGCCTGGGTATCAGGAGTTTTAGTAGCTTCCCAGGTGATTCAGATATGAATCTGAGTTTAATAACCACTGGCTTGGAGATTCTCGTGGAGCAGATGAACCTAAGAGGCATTAAATCTTTGTCTTAACTAAATTGCTCTCAGATGATGCAACCCATTCCCACTAACCTCCTCTTTCCATTGTCTTGCTTTTGTTTTGGTTTTGAAGTTGTGTGATTTATGGCCCTTTTATTCTATAATCAGTATAATCTGTTTCATTTAATCCACCTCTTTTCAGATACTTATTTAAATAATTGTTTACTGATGCTTTGATTGGCACTCAAAAGCAGACTAAGCAAACAGAAAACCACCACTATCAAACACACACACACACACACACACACACACTCTCACACACTCTCACACACACACTCACTCACAAAACCCCTGCTCCAGAAGATTCTTAAATTCTGGAGTTTGATTTCTTTTTTCTCAGTATATTTCATTTTCTTGTTAACTTGACATTAAGATGTCTATCTACATCCATCTGTGAGCATAACATTCACATAAAGATTTGTAGAGCAAATCTTTTTGGTCCTTTAGTTTATCTTCCTGAGCCATCCTTAGAGCAGCCAACTGTTTTGAGGTTATCCTTGAATTATTTTATGTCTTAATTTTCAGTAATTGATCATAGCAAGTCGCTATTGAGGACCCACTCGATGCCAAGTATAGCTCTATATGTGTGAGAGGCGCCTTGGTTCCTAAATTTGTCTGTATTTCAATCACCTGATCACCTGAAGAGATTTTTTTTTTTTTTTTTTTAAAAGAAAGTACTGCTGTCTCACTCCCAGAGATTTGGGATTTAGTTGGCCTGAGGTGTGGCCTGGGCTTTGGAGGTTTGAAAAAAAAAATCCCCAGGTAATTTTAATATGCAGACAAGTTTGGGAGCCTCTGAACTAGGGAATTGCAAAGAAATATGTTACTAAGTCCCTGTCTTTTGGTCATCCATTCTTTTTTTTTTTTTTTTTTTTTTTTTTTTTTTTTTTTGCGGTACGCGGGCCTCTCACTGTTGTGGCCTCTCCCGTTGCGGAGCACAGGCTCCGGACGCACAGGCTCAGCGGCCATGGCTCACGGGCCCAGCCGCTCCACGGCATGTGGGATCTTCCCGGACTGGGGCACGAACCCGTGTCCCCTGCATCAGCAGGCGGACTCTCAACCACTGCGCCACCAGGGAAGCCCTGGTCATCCATTCTTAAGATGCCTCCCTCATCATTGTAACTATTCTTTTTTCTCTTATGTATTACGTAGGAATTGTTGGTAGATGAAGTATTAGTGATGGTCTTCAGGGTACATGGTGCTCCATTAAGCGCACAGGGCTGGTTTAGATTCTTGTCAGCAGGAGTTTACATACAGAATGTGGTTTTGAATTTTTGTATGTTTGAGAAAGTGGTGTTCTTTTTGCCCTGCTTTTTCTTTTTCTTTTTCTTTTTTTGACATCCACAGAACATCTTTGAATGGGAGGTGCTGGATAAAGAGTCAAAGTGTCAGTGTTTCAGAAATGGCCTTCCTGTTTTTCAGCAAATTTTTGGTGAATTGAAACTTTTTATGTGGCACTTTAAACAATTTTTGCTATTGGTTAACGTTTTAGACAGAGTACAGTGCACCAGTGTAACATTCAGAGGCTTGTAGACTTTTTTGAGAACATATTGTGCAGGGGCTATGGAAGGGACTGAGGGTCGAAAGAAGAGAGGAAAAGACCTGTATTCAAGACCCTTACTCTATGTTGAGAAGGGAATGTAGAAAAACCATAGTTCTTTGTTTTGTTTTCACTCCTGGGGGGTGGGTGTGGGTGGGTGGAACGTGTAGCAGGTGGAACTTACAGCCGAATGCGACTGGAGATATCCTAGCTCATTTAGTGAGTAGGCCAAAGTAGGAACAGCCTAAATAAGAATCACAAGTGGGAATTGGGAACTGCATTAACTATATACAGCTGCTTGCATGGTCATTACTCATCCGGGGACAGTGTGCCTCCTCATTTGACCTGCTGTTTGTTTGTTTGCCACTGAGGGATGTTTACAAGCTTGTTGACTTTAACTGTGGAGAACTGATTTTCACTACCAAGCTCTTTTCCTGAGTGTTTCAGACTTTACTGTGTGACATGTTCAAATGCCCTTCGAAAGGTGAATTTGCCATTTATTTATCTTTTGTGCCTCACCTTTTACGTGAGTGATGGACATCTTTTTATTAACAATACATGGCAAGTCTTAAAGCCTTCCTGTGCAGCTAAGATTAGTTCATGGTGATAGGGGTAGCTTTTTTTTTTTGTTGTACGCGGGCCTCTCACTGTTGTGGCCTCTCCCGTTGTGGAGCACAGGTTCCGGACGCGCAGGCCCAGCGGCCATGGCTCATGGGCCCAGCCGCTCCGCGGCATGTGGGGTCTTCCCAGACCGGGGCACGAACCTGTGTCCCCTGCATCGGCAGGCAGACTCTCAACCACTACGCCACCAGGGAAGCCCTAGGGGTAGCTTTTTAGAGATTTTGATTTCCAGTTTTAATTCAGTAGTTGATTATTTCCTTGATGTAAAAGTGAGTTGATGTAGTAAAAAGTAGCCATGGTTATTTTGAGTAACCAGCAAGAAAACATTATGGAATAGATGCTTTATTTAGTTAAGATATGTGTTTGCAATTTTAACCTGTCTAGAAATCAGTGTAGCTGATTATTTTATGACCATATATAAAGATGTTTTGCATCACAGAAATTCATATCCTTTTCTAAAAAACTTAACTAAAAAGTGTTAAGTGACTTATCAGTACAAACTGGTAAATGCCAGGTTAGCTGTTAGTCTTCCTCAGGGCAGGGATCATGTCATCTGCATGTTTGTAAGTCCAAAGTCAGGCATGTAACATGGGCTCAGTCAAATCTGCAAGAGTGAAGGGGTGGGGGGGAATAGTACATATTATTATTTTATCTTTATTGTTTATATTATAGTTATAAATATATACATATATTATATATAAATATATATAATATATGTATGTATTATATAAATAATATATATTTATAAATATTTATAGTTCAGTTTATTATTTATACTTATTTATATTACTTATATTATTATCTTTGTTGTAATTTAATAAGTAGAGTTGTAATTTTTTTCAAGAAACATATCTCAACAGTTTACATATATATTTAAACTTTGTGAAAGACTGGTTTGTTTTACATTTCAGCTGCTGCCTTTTTCATCACCTATGAATATGTGAAATGGTTTTTGCACACTGATTCATCTTCGTATTTGATCCCTGTGAAGCATATGTTGGCTGCCTCTGCTGGAGAGGTGGTAGGTAATAAGTTATGTGTATAAAATACTTCAGAAATGCAAAGTATGAAAATATCTTCAGTACAGGTATTACTTCATTTCATTTTTAAAAGACAATTCTTTTTTAAATTTGAAAGTCATAAATCCCAATAAACGTAAATGGTTTAAACATGGTAGTTGAAAGACAGTCTATATAGGATGAAAGAAAAATCCAGCTATCTGCTATTTACAAGAGATGCACCTCAAACATAATTATACAGAAAGAATAAAATTAAAGAGGTAGAGGAAAATATCCATGCAAATTTTGGTGGCTTCATGTTGGGTCAGCATAATTGAGCTGGACCTCTATTTCCTAGAACACCCTTTCCAGGAGGGCTCCAGGTTAGCCTGGCTACAAGAGAAAATTGCTCAAGATTTGTAAGGTGGAAGTAAAGCAGCGGTTCTGTTCATGCTCAGAAGGTTGGTGGGAGGTCAGGCACTGCTGCAGTTCATACACCTCATCACTGATCTGTTGGCTTCAGGCAGCAGTCAAGCCTCCAGCTCCTCCAACTCTCACTGGGTCTTCTCCTTCAGCTTCTCTAAATTTTGAGTCAGTTGTGTGGGCTCTGTTGTGAAGGGTGCCAATTTATGTTGTAGGTCACCCACATCATTGTGATTGGTGAGGGAGAATGCGAGTTCCAGTTTGTCCTTGCTCTTCCCCATTTCACATCCATTTTTCCTTCCTGATTGCATGCCTTCTAAGTTTCTGTCCCAACACTAGATGCAGAAGTAACAGTTCTACATACGTTGCTTAACCAGCTCCCACAATTACTGTTTATATCCCTGTAATAGCTTCTTATTCTTATCATTCTTAGTGGGTCTACTTCTCTGATCACCCCTAACTGATTCAGAAAGACTAGCTGAAAGAGAGCTGATAGTAATGTTAATATCAGACCAGGAAAAAAAAAAAAAGACTGAAAGCAAAAAACAAGGAGACCACTGTATAATGATATGAGGAACAGTTCTCCTGGGAGATGTAGTAAACCTGAACCTGGACTAAATAGCATAGTCTCAAAATATAAAGCAAAATGTTGCCAGAATTATAATGAAAAATGAATACAATTACTGTCTTCATTGGAGTTATTCACATCTATCCATAAAAGTTTTAGGACCAGGCAGGTAACTTGTTAAGACCGTAGAAGATTTGAGCAACACAATGGCAAGAATGGTCTAATGGATGTGTATGGAGTTCTGCACCTAACTGCTAAAGATTATTCATTTTTTCAAGCACACTTGGAACATTAATAAAAGTGTATGACCCAGTAGTCCACAAAGCAACTTTCAAAAAATAGTGTAGAGATAATGTCATACAGATCATTTGGTGTCTGATTATAATGAAGTAAAATTGGAAAGCAATGACAAAAACACAGGCAGTCCATCCCTCCTATGTGTTTAAAAAATTATCCAACTCTTCTGTAAATAATTCATGAGCCAGTAAATCATAATGTATGTGGTAAAATATTTGTAATTAAAAAATAGTACAGGAATATATATTTTTTCTAAACTTACACAGAGAAGAGTATAATACAAATAAGAGCTTTCCCACCCCTTCACCCACTTACCTTTCTCCAGTCCCCCTGCCTACTACTAATGGACAACTTTAATTAAAATTATTTTTGTGTATCCACCCAGAAATTGTCCTTTACTATGGTTACTTTCAAATCACATTGTCTTGTTTGTTTTGTATGTATGTATGTGTCTATGTATCTGCTTATCTCTCTATTTAGTCTATCTTAATAATCCCAGAAAGTTGTTAGGGGCAGGGTGCATTAACAGGAATGGACAAGAAATTGAAGAGAAGGGTCTCGGTTTATAAGTCTTTTATCATTTTGTCAAGTAGTGTATATCGTTTTTCATTTAATAAAGTAGTGGTATGTATTTATGTTAGGAAGTTAGAAAAATGAATCAGCCTTTATAAGATTTACATAAGAAACAACTGTGATATATTGTGGTTTTGTTTTCTGTGCACTATTTTCCTTTAGAAAATTTGGATGAGAATCTACAAACTGTTTTGTAACCTAATTTTCTTCTCTTGAGAATACGGTGAATGAGGGTGATGAAAGAGAGAGATTGCACTTTATGGAATTCCCTGGCGGTCCAGTGGTTAGCACTCTATGCTTTCACTGCCGAGGGTGCATGGGTTCAATCTCTGGTCGGGGAACTAAGATCCTGTGAGCCGCATGGCACGGCCAAAAAAAAAAAAAAAACCAGAAAAAAGGAGAAAATAACTAAAAAAAAAAAATAACTGTTTTGAGATGTAATTCACATCCTGTATGATTTATCCATTTAAAGTGTACAGTTCAGTGTTTTTTTGCTGTACTCACAGCTGCAGCCATCGCCACAGTCAGTTTTAGAGCATCATCATCGCCCCAACAAGAAACCTCGTACCCATTAGCAGTCACTTCCCATTTCCCCCAACATTCTCACCTTAGGCAACAACCACTGACCTACTCTGTCTCTATAGATCTGCCTATTCTGGACATTTCATATACATGAAATCCTACCAAGTTTCTTTCTGAGGTGATGAAAATGTTCTAACATTGACTAGGATGATGGTTGCACATGTCTGTGAATATATTAAAAACCATTGAATTGTATCCTTAAAATGGATGAATTTTATAATATGCACATTCTGTCGTATTATGCTGTTAGAAAGGAATAAGAAGAGAATATTATGAAAACCGTATGTTAATAAATTTGACAAATTCTTGAAAGATAACAAAAAATGTGGAATCCTTACAATCTGGTCTTTTGTGACTGGCTTCTTTCACTTACATTTTCAAGATTTCATCTATGCTATAGCATGTATCATCAATTGCCTATGTTTTTGATTTTCTTGGATACATACCTAGGAGTGGAAATATCAGTCATATGGTAACTTTATTTTTAACCGTCTGAGGAACTCACCAAGGCTGTTTTCCGAAGTGGCTGCACCATTTTACATTCCCACCAGCAGTGCGTAAGAGTTCCAGTTTCTTCTGCACATCCTTGACACCACTTGGTGTTACCTGTCTTTTTCTTTTTTTAAAAATTAATTAATTTATTTTTGGCTATGTTGGGTCTTTGTTTCTGTGCGAGGGCTTTCTCCAGTTGCGCGAGCGGGGGCCACTCTTCATCGCGGTGCGCGGGCCTCTCACTGTCGTGGCCTCTCGTGTTGCGGAGCACAGGCTCCAGACGCGCGGGCTCAGTAGTTGTGGCTCACGGGCTCATTTGCTCCACGGCATGTGGGATCTTCCCAGACCAGGGCTCGAACCCATGTCGCCTGCATTGGCAGGAAGATTCTCAACCACTGCGCCACCAGGGAAGCCCCTACCTGTCTTTTTAATTATAACAAACAAATAGACATTCAGTGGTATCGTGATTTTGACTTGCCTTTCCCTGGTAACTAATGATTTTGAGCATCTTTTCCTGTGCTTATTGGTTATTTACATATCTCCTTTGGAGAAATGTCTATGCATCTCCTTTGCTCATTCTTTAATTAGGTTGTATTTTTGTTAATAAGTTGTCGGAGCTCTTTATATATTGGCAAAACTTTTTCCCATTCTGTGCATTTTTTTCACTTAATGGTGTCCCTTGAAGCATAAGTTCTAAATTTTGATGTCTAGTTTATCTGTTTTATCTTACATTGCTTGTGCTTTGATGTCGTATCTAAGAAACCATTGCCTAATCTGAGATCATGAAGATATTTATACCTATGTTTTCTTTCAAGAGTTTTCTAGTTTTAACTCATATTTTTAGGTCTTTGATCCATTTTGAGTTAATTTTTTTATCTGGTTTGAGGCTGTGGTCTAACTTTATTGTTTTGCGTGTGTATATCCAGTTGACGTAGTGCCATTTGCTAAACTATTTCTTTACCCATGGAATTGCCTTGGCACCCTTGTCAAATACTAATTGATGTAAAGGTGGGGTTTATTTGTGGACCCTGTTCTATTCTATCGATCTCTACGTCTATCCTTATGCTAGTACCACAGAGCCTTGATGACCACAGCTTTGTAGTAAGTTTTGAAATCAGCAGTGTGAGTCCTCCAGCTTTGTTCTTCTCTGTCAGGATTGTTTTGCCTCTTCTGGGTCTTTTGCATTTTTATGTGAATTTTTTTTTTTTTTTCCTCACCTCATGGCTTGCTGGATCTCAGTTCCCCAACCAGGGATTGAACCTGGACCATGGCAGTGAAAGCCCAGAGTCCTAACCACTCGGCCACCAGGGAACTCATTATGTGAATTTTAGAATGAGCTTGTCAATTTCTTGCAAAATGAGCTTGCAAAAAAAGCAAATGAGATTTTGATAAGGATAACACTGAATCTGCAAATTAATTTGGGGAGCATACCATGTTAACAAAAATGCTTAAATTTTCCAATCCACAAACATAGGCTGTCTTTTCATTTCTTTAGGACTTATGTAATTTCTTTTAACAATGTTTCATAGTTTCACAGTATACGTTTTACACTTCTTTTGTTAAATTTATTCCTAAGTAATTTATTCTTTTTGACGTTATTGTAAATTGAACTTTTTTCATTTCATTTTCAGTTAGTTTATTGCTACTGTATAGAAATAAATTCATTTTTGTGTATTGATCTTGTATCTTCCAACCTTGCTGAATTAATTAGTTCTAAAGTTTAGTGGATTCTTACAGATTTTCTATATACAAGATCGTATGATCTGCACATAGAGCTAGTTTTACTTCTTTCTGTACAATCTATATGTCTTTTATTTCATTTTCTTCCCTAACTGCTCTCGTTAGAAGCTCTAGTACAGTGTTGAATAGGAGTGGTGAGAGTGGACATCCTTATCTTGTTTCTGATCTTAGGAAGAAAGTATTTAGTGTTTCAGTAATATTTCTGTCATAAAGGGTTACATTCTGTCAGTGCCTTTTGTTCATCTGTTGAGATAATCATGTGGTTTTATTCTTTATTTTACTGATATGGTGTATTACATTAATTGATTGTCAAATGTTAAACCACTCTTGCATTTGCAACCCAAATGT